GTTATTCCGTTTCTATAATAATCAAAGTCGACCAAGCTTCGTGACGTATCCGCAAAATAATTTATCACCTCGTAAGTAAAGAGTTGGTTGATTGATTAACATTGATTCATTCGAAAAAAAAACTTACTTTAACTTTGATGACTAATACTGCAACATGCGCCAGATTTATTTAAATCATCATTTATTTTTTTTTCTCACTCTCTCGATGTAAATAGTTTTGTGTTTTTTCTCTCTTTTATAAGAAAAGTTTTTTATAAGTTTTATGTAAGAAAATTTATAAAAAAAGTCAAATGCAAAAACACACAGAGATATAACATTGTGTCGCAAGTTTTCATGATTCAAGTTTTACATAAATAACAAAACTTTATTTCTCAGTTGATTATAGAAACACTTTACTTTAACAGAAATTTTAGTTGAAGTTTACTTATCAAGAAGTGGAATTTTCGAAAATTGGAAAATTGACAAACGGTTATCTTTCTCGATATTTTCGTTAAAAAAATATAGACTATATTCGTTAAATAATTTATCTCCATTTCAAATATTTTTATTTGAGTTGAAATATTATTTGCTAGACAAAACTGAAATACATTTTAAAATTATTTTATGTAATTTGTTTTTTTCTATCTCTTTATTGTAAAATAAATTCCATATTTCGATGTTTTAATCTTATCATAACAGACAGCATCGACTGTAGATCGTACGCAGATTCGCGTTCGGGTTGGATAGGTGAAGGCGTTAACATTTCCGTTTCATTCGAAGCACAGCGTCGAAAACACATATTTGCACAGATCGCGCACATTCCGTCCCGGATACGTCAATTGCGCAAAAGTTTCGAGTGATCTGTTCGCGAACCGAATGACCTAAATAGACGTTTCCAGCATCGAATGTTTGACCCGAAAGTTCGGGGAGAGAGAACCCCGGGTCGATTGCGCGCGGTTTTGCTTCACCCCCTCGAGCGCACATGAGAGAACTTTGTCCTCCCTCTTTCCTCCTTCCTTCCCTTCTCTTCACTGTATTTAACCGAGCGTTCCGCATCGGATTCGTCGCGCGTCGTAAATAAAAGTCCACGGGCGATAGCGAGCGAGCAAGCGATACGTCAGAGGGGTACCACCGTGACACCTGGTGCCTCGTGCAATCGGCATTAAAGTGCAATGAAATTGAAAAGAGCGCAGAAAAGTCAAACCATTCCTGGACGATGCAAGAGCGATCTAAAGGAGCGAAAACTCGGCGATACACAATAGCGTTCCGGCTCGTCGAGGAGCCTTGTCGCTCTTCGAGGCGCCACAATGGTCCACGAGGATAGTCCGGGGGGAACGCTGATTTCTCCACAATTTCTGTTATTTTGGGCGAGTGTACGACCAGCAGGCTGATTCTCAAAGAGGGACGGCCGGCTGTGAGGAATGGACCGTGGAGAGTGGAATGGGTCGGATCGTGTGGTGAGAGACGCGCCTGCGAGGCGTGAGTTCGGGTTCCATCTCCGGGTTGCCAGGTGCAACTGTTCCCTTCCTGCTTGTATACCTGCGTCTTATAAAACATCGCTCATTTCTCGTACCGGTCCGTCCATCCGTCTCAGCTTGTAGCCTTGACCATTCCGAGCGCTGCGAGGAACTCACTTGCTGGTCGTCGCGCGATAATCGCCGAGACGAATGAATAGATTCGTATACGCGCTTTCACCAGTTTTCAATGAGTGCTTTCGCCAGCTTTAGTAAACGTCGACATTTTTTTTTATCATTAATATTTATAAGAATTTTAGCCACTATTCAATCCGCCGTTGCGATATAATTCACTTCTGGTTCTCGAAGAATGGAGAGGATAAGACTGCAGGTACGCTTAACGCGCGCAAAAATTTGCATCTCAATGATTTGTTTCTCTCGCGCCGATTAATCTGTCGGTATGCGCGAATTTATGAACGCATTGTTTTCTTGGGAACGTGGTGGCGAATATCTCAGTCTTGACCATCTCGAAACGGCGCGGGTAAGATGACGATATATTACCTCGTCCGGCGTCTTGCCATAATTAGCATACTGAGTAGGCAGGTAATTGTATTCGATGTTGCTCTAAATGGTACGGGAACGAACCTGATGCCTGACACAGTCTAGAAACGTAGTTTTGATTAGTGATTACGCTGCCGTGGCAAGGGCTTCCCGCTTTTGTGAAATTTAATGTAGCGTATGGCAAATTGCCTACTCTCTCTCTCTTTCTCTCTCTCTCTCTCTCTCTCTCTCTCTCTCTCTTTCTCTCTTCTCTCTCTCCGTAAACTTGGGTAGCTGTGTGCTTTGTGTCAGCCGAATTATCTTAGAATAGGGGAGCGCGCGTCTTTGTAATGGCTTCTAAGGAAGTTATAACAATGAGTAAACGACCTCGTATATATAAAGGAAAATGCTGAATCCTTGAATCTTCTCGTTACTCGCACGTGGACTTTGCTGTGAATGTGGACACTTATAATGATAATATTCTACTAAGTATATTATACTATATATCAGAACTAGTACAGAATATTTCAAACAACTTTACACGATGCATAGGAAATAATAAAGGGGAAAACAATAAATATTACTAAATCATTTAATTATAATTACATTTATTAATCATTAAATTATAATTATCGTTTACGAAAATGTGACACCTAATGATTAGATTATATTTATGTACTTGTCTAAGGTTGTTATGTGACTGATTGCAAATTATTAATTGCAGTTTCATTGTATAATGAGAACTTTAATCAGTGTTATTAGATATAGTTATGCAAATATTAATTATTAACATAATTCATCCAGACCATGCTATTATTGCGTAAAATCAATGAATAACTTTGATGAATAAATAAGTTTCATTGATTATAGTTTGGGTATCCATTACAATTTTGAATATTACAGAGTTATTTCATTCGAATTGATCGATTTTCAGGCATTGTGAATTAAAATTAATATATGTATAATGTACAATATATTCTTATTGTTAGATTATAAAATATACTGGGATTGATACAATGTTATATAATCAAAGATATGGAAGAGATCTTACATATAATTATAAATATGAAATATGTCTTTTCGAGTTTTAACATACGCAAAATATTTTTTTGCGAGAAAATATATACAGAAAGTTTTCAAGGAATCTGTTTTCTCGACGAATATATTTTTGAAGAGAGATATTTGTAAGAATTTAGTGAATAACAGCATATGATGAACGTAAAAGCCGGTACAGTATCGACTGTAAAAGGCTCGGACTTGCTACATGTTCATGGGACGGTGATGCAGATTTGAACAATTCTGAAGGGAGATTACCAGCGATAGTATCAAAAAAGTGGCATTTAGGCAAAAATAAGAAAACGAAGTTATTTATTTCTTAATTAATCTTTATCAAATAATATAAAAAATATTTTGAAGAAACTTGAAAAATTTAGCATTTCCTCTCTCTTTCTTCTTCTATTTTTATAAAATAATGATCTCTGACTGACTAAAGCGCCTTGTATGATTTTCCTGCAATCTCGTCAACAAACAACTGCTGGTAAAGAGACTGTCTGTGTATCGTCAATTTATTAAATATAATTCTATATATTAATATATATTACATGTACATATGATACTATATAAAAGTAATCAAAAATATATAAAGCAGTATATCATGTTCGTTCAAAAGATATTAAATTTATTAAAAACATATTCATTTACACTATATTAACGTATCTATCAATTTATTATATTTTATTATTATTTTTATGGTATTAAGGATTTCATTTTTTGTCCAATATTGCAATAATCATCTACGAAAAATACAATTATTACCATTAAATATTTCCTCAGATTTAAAAAAGCAAAAAAGTTATCAGTATAACTCAACTAAAATATATTTTTTTAAATAATCTATTGTAACTTTACACCACATTTGCTCTGTTCTTTATATGAAAAAAAGACATTACGCGGGTGTCCATCTTGCAAAAACTTTGATCGATATATAATGGCCGTGCATGTAACATTTTGTTCGTCGAACAATCTCATTTTAAACATGCATTTTCCCAACAACGTTGAAAACGTCGCATCCGTCAACCCCGATATCTATCCGTGTTCTGCTTGTGTGGTGTCGGTACCCTTTGATACACCAAAAACTATGCCGTCCCTGGGATCTCGACCGCCGAGGCTAATCCCCCTTGGCGGACTTGGACCATGCTCCAGCATCGTTCGCGACGATCGCGATGGAATCAACGCACACCCTCGCGCGCGCGCGCGCTTACCCTTGAGAGAGAAGGCGAAAATAAGAGCAAGGGAGATAGGACGAATAGGAGAGGAAGAGAGAGAAAGGAGGGAAGCAGAGTGAGCTCGCGATACACGGCAACGGCCGTGAGCCACGGGGGTTCGCAAAGGGGTGGTTGGAATTGAGAGAGACGACACATACGTCGCGCGACGGTTATAGGAGAGAGACAGGGTAGATTCTCCGGTACAAGGTGGTGGGCACAATATTGATCTGTGGGGTGGGCTTCGGGGATGCTGTCCTCCGGCTCTCTCTTTCACCCCCGGGCCGCCTGTCTCACCCGCCTTCTCGCATCCCCTCGACCCCCGCGCTGTCTCCCCCCTCGCGCCATCGCACCCCCGAGTCTACTCCCCCGGTGCTCGCGATGTAGTGGGGGTCACGCTGGTTGCGTGCTGGTCCAGTCCGCAGCCTCCCACGAAATCGTGGTGGGAACCGGAGGCGGCCACGGGAGGTAGGGACAGCGGGGAGGGCGGCTGCTCCGGTGATGGAGGTGGCGGAGGAGGATTATGCCCCATCTCGTGGGGAACGCTCCTCGCGCTTATATCGCGGCGGTAGCTGCGAGTCGCGAGAGCTCGACCGGTAGCTCGTACACGACCCCGACCGCTTCCTTTTTCAGGGGTTTCGGTTTCCGGTTCGGGCACCCGTTCGCAGGGACAAGAGGCGGTTCTCTCCATCCCCGCGTGTCCAATCCCCCTCTCTCTCTCTCTCTCTTTCTCTCTCTCTATCTCTTTCTCTCTTTCTCTCTTTTTCTCTCTCTCTCTCTCTCTCTTTCTTTCTCTCTTTATCCCTCTTATCTTTTGCCACCTCTTTCTCTCCATTCCTATTTCTCTGATCTTCCGTCGTTTCCCTCTTGCCAGCCGTTCTCAGTCAAGCGCGAGTTGCCACGTTCGGACGGACTTCGCGGCGTACATCCTGTGCGTGCGGCCTGTACGGGAAGCTACACGTCTCTTCGTCATCTTCGTCATCGTGTTCGTCGCCGCAATCGTCTTAATCGGTCGTTCGGATATTTCGCGCGTTCGTTATTATTTCGCTCGTGTGAAAGCCGATGCGCGCGATGCGAGATAGAAGCGTGCGTACAAGAGGAACGACTTCGCCAAAGGACGAAAGCAATTACGGATAAAAGCAGCGACACATAGAGCGACGCGAGGTCGGAGACGGATGGGATTGCGGAGAGAGAGAAGAGCTAGCTGCAACAGGACAGGAGGGACGACGATGAACGCGGATACACGAGAATGCACGTTCGCGCGAACGCGTGATCCTTGTTGAGGAGAAAAGAAGAAGAAACGAGTGCGACGAAAAGGGTGCGAAAACGCGAGAGGAGAGAGAGAGAGAGCAGCTCTATCTCGAAAGAAGAAGGAAAAGAAGAGAGAAAGACGCGCGACAGCGGCGAATTCGTTGCCTACGTGGAACGGGCTGCTGGCAGAGGGAGCAGCCACGCTCCGCAAAGTTGCCTAGATACCGGGCAACACCGTGTTGCGCTCCGGTGAAGTAGGAGGCAGCGAAGGAGGCGGAGGTGGCGGTGCTGCTCCGCGGGAGGATGGAACGCGCGGTGGACTGTAGTGAGACGAGGAAGACGATCGCCGGCCAGGCCGCGAACGCAGGTCCGTGGTGCTGCCAAGAGTCACGATAGCACCCCCGCGCCCCTCTCGAAACCACGAGAGAGAAAGAAAGAGAGCACACGTAGGTCGAAAATCGCGGCAGCGTGTTCGCGAAGCGGCTCGAGAAGTCAATTGCGCAAAGTATCGCGGCGTCGTTTGCGGTGCTACCGAAATAGAGCCGTCGTTCGTCGACACCGCCGGATACGACGAATAGTTGTAACCCCCGCACAGGCATCCGGAGTATCGCGCGTACGTCGTTCGCGCATGTGGACTCTTTTTTCGCGAAAATTTTTCTATAGGGAGAAATCTTTTTTACGAACTCGCGGCTCGTATCGCTCGTGGTTCTATGTTGTTTCGCGCTGCTCTCGCGGCCGGAAATTCCGATCGAATCATCAAGGTGGGTGTGAGCGAGTAATAAAGTGAGCCCCGGTGCCGGTCGAGAACGGGGTGAGAGTACTCGTAACGATGGACGCCACCGCGTGGGGGAGAGCAGGAGGATTCGGTGTAGCGAGGGCGCGTAGTCGCCACGGACACCTGTAAACGGCACGAGCCCTCGCAGGTTTCCTTCGAGACGAGTTCCTTTTCGTCGTACAGAATCGGTGAATCGTACGCACGCCAAATGCACGCCGAAACGCGAGTCTGTGATGTACGCGTACGCGTAATTGACGAACGATACCGCGTGAAAAAGTACCGGATATAGTCATAGGTACGTTCGTATCGACTGCGTCGCAGCGTCAAAACTCCGCAGACGCAATTTCCCGTGAGATTAAAACTCGCGCCATTGTTGCTTCTTCGTGGCGTGCGAGACAATGGAAAAAATTGCTACCCCTGTCGATATAGGTAGAAACCGCGGTAATGGCGTGCCATTTAATGCACACTCCTCCGTGAATCCGATAAATAGGTCATCGTAATGCTGGACTCGTGATCAATGGCTGGTTAGTTGGAAAGGGTTGCGGCTAATTAAATCGTATATTTTCGTTAAGAAACACGGAACGTTTTCTATTTAATACAATTTGGGGCATGTAAAGATAAATGAGCGAAAACAAAAGCATATTCTCGTGTATTGTATTTTCAAAAAACACGAGACAGTAATAAGATTATTATTTTTTATTTCTTCCGAATTATTTTCTTGTTTGAAATGATAATTTTTTCTTACATATCTAAGATTTGATAATATATCTGATATTTTTCGTTATATTGAATTTTATATATATATATATATATATATATATATATATATATATATATATAAGGGGGTAATTTTTTACAAATTTTCTTTAAATTTAATATGTGATATTAAATGATAGTTGTGCTTTTCTCAATTTTGTAATGTAATAATATTAATTATTGTAATCGCACAAAATATTTAGATCTAATTCGCAGATAACGATTTATGAGTCTGCATATATATGCGACTTTTTCAATTATATTAGTAATTTATTCGGTCTCACCAAGAGGATGGAAAATTTATGATAACGGGGCTTGGCGAAACCGATCGTGCTCAGTCGCGGCACGTTTTTCCAAAGGGAATACAAGAAATCTTTTCTCGCTGATAGAGAAATAGTAAATCAACCTCTCAGTTTGTAAATCCTAAGTCTTCGATACTCGCATAAACCAACTACTGTTACGTATACCGGCAAAAATATCACGATAAATGACAGTATTATTCAAATGAATGTTTTACTTCACTATTTCGTACAGAATAGTATTTGCGTAAATTTGTATGGCATACATTTCGTGCACAATTTTTAATTTCAATTTATAGTTTGATAATACTGTAAAAGTTATTTTTATTTAAATTTTTATATATAAGCTTTGGAAGAAATTTTTTAATGCTTATAAGTGAAAATGATCGGATTATAATTAATTTCTAAAATCTCATTAGATTTCTTTTTTATTTTAATTATAACAAGTTTCAGAATCAACGAAATAATGAATCTAAAAATATCTCTTGTGTGTGCCTTCGATTATTTCTCATAAGAATTTGAGTATTTCTCATAAAGTTTCAGTAATAATTTAAACTCGTGGAATGATATTTTAGATATAGGTATATGTATGTAATATAGAATAATTCGTGATAAAGAAAAAACCGCAAATTTTGAGCTTGAAATAAGTTTAATAAAGCTTGAAAATTACATGACTCTAGGTAGGGAGGTTGAAGGCAATGTCGACGAATTCATATGAAATAATGCAAACACATGCTGCGAAACGACGCCGCGCGCGATAGGAAGCAGGGGCGCGAAGAGGTCGTTCACATACATACACACCTGTACACACCTACACACGAAATCATTATTTTCAGGATTTCTCGTGAGAATGCTCGAAACGCTGGGAAGCATCGTCGCGCGAACGTAGCGCGTTCTCTTTGCGAACGATAAAACGCCGCCACCTTTCAACGATCGGGACCTCGCGAATACGCACGACCGAGAAGCGCGGAAGAACGCTTGGTTATGACGGCCAAGTCGGGAGGTGCGTTAGCGAGGGCATCGAGTATCGATTAGCGGATGATTCGCGCGGAATTGAACTCGACTCGCGAGATCTGCACGATGATGATAATCAGTGACGCAACGGATGACAAAGCGTTCCCGGGCGATATTCGCGGTAGTGACCGCTGCATGTAGAAGTGAACACGCAAAATTGTGCAGTGCATTACGGTCACGACGGGGCACGTCGGGACCGAGTGAAAGAACATCGGCGAGTCGGTGTCGAGCCTCGACCTGGGCCTGCAAAATTTATCTGCCATGGCGCACCAGACAAGAGATCTACCGCAGTTGCGAATAAAGTTTTATAATACGGTCGCCGCCGGTCTCCAAATAGTCCTCTTGCTCACCGTCCTACCTCAAGGTAAGTTTGCCGGAACACGAATTTCCGATATTTTACGGTGACATTGTGTTTACGCGATATTACTCGTTATGATTTTTCTTCGCTCGTCAGAATCCACTTCAAGAAAAAGACACGAATAATATTTGCGAACGATTTTGTTAGGATATCAAATAAAACTTTTAATTACTATTTAATTAAATAAAACTTTTAATGATTCAAATTACGTATAAAGAATGTTTCATCTGTCAATTGACAAATATATTTTACCGAAAAATGTGTCAATCAAATCAACTTATTCACTTGTAAATATTACAATATCATATATTATAGACACATAAAATGTCAATAGCAGTTGTTAATGAAAATTTTTGGAAGATACATCTACTTGTTGCCTGACTCTTTTTTTAATAACGCAACTAAAGTATGAAATATTTCAATACGCATTTACTTTTACGGAAAAAGGAAAGCACTTGATTTATCTATAATACTCTTGATCATGGATATCAAGTGAAAAAGTAATTGAAACTAATTTCAAGATAATTAGCATTAAAATCTAATGTAATCTTATATTTATTTTATATTTTGATTTTTGCTGAATCGAATCTCTCAATTTGATTGATATACCAGTGATTATTTATATTAATTATATTTTTTGGTAAAAAAATTGAGGCTGAAGTTTAATTAGGAGATAAATACGTTTCATTTTTCGATGCTTTTATTATTTATATATACACACATATTTATATAATTCCATTATCTATTTAATCCGTACAAAGAAAACAATTATTCTAATTTTAGTTAAAATTTTTGAATATTATTAATACACATATTGTGTGTAAAATAAGAATGAATGTTCTTATTAGTAGTCAAGGATCAAAGTCCATTTTTGCATGTCGCGACTTCTATTCAGCCATGTCATTTCGTCGGGCTATTCTTTTTCTCTCTCTCTCTTGTCCTTATATAGAAATTCCGAAAATAACTTTAGACGAGTACATAATTTAATGAGCGACGCTCCCACGACTATATTCCAACGTCATCTTTGGTACAGACATTTCTAGTCGATCAACATGTTAAATACGGTAGGAAATGATCAATATCGTTCATATCGATAAAATTAGTCGCGCACGTGTCAAATATAATAATTGTAAAAATTTACTTTGGAGATAATAGCAATAGTGACCCACTAATTGCCGTCGTATGTTAATCTAGATATCTAGCTCTGTGTTTTTTTAAAAAATAATAAATGCATTCCATGTCTATGTTTTGCACACGCTTATGCATATATGGAAGATATGTGTTCGCCTTTATATAATTTACGCGTGACTGATTACCCTAAAAGTGGCGCCGCGTATGCGTATAATAAATCGGTTCGTCAATCATAATTACGGACGACGCGTTCGGCAATAGTGCAACGTATAATAGAATCACCACAACTACAGTATACTGGGTGCGACCTGCCATCACGATGCATCGGCGCTCGACCGCGACAAAACTACATTTCGTTCAGTCAACGAAGTTTCGCAGCCATGCGCGGTACGACTCGGCCGGAATTAAATCGCACGATTTGAGGTACTCCCTCGGAAAAACATCGACGTGTGTGTCGCGAACGGCGAAGTTTCGACGTGGCCGATGTTGGCTTTCCCTCAGATTCTACGACACGTTAATCTCCGCGGTAACGGGTTTAGACTATTGGGAATTGAACTCGTCGCCAATTTTCAAGAAACTTGACGAGATTTTTTTTGCCGTGTTATAAAACTCAGAGCTAAAATTATGAAGTAAAAATCAAATAATATGGTACAAGATGTTTGGAAATTCAGTATCTCTTTCTAATTAATTTCAGATTTGAATATTTTTCAAACCAAGTACTGTTTTTATGATTTTGATATATTTATTACATAAATTATTTTGTAGTCGAGGATAAAGGAAAATGAGAAATATAATAAGTAAAATACAAGCAATATATTTTTTAATTTCAATTAGAAATTTTGAATATTAGAATTTCTTTTTTGACTCAGTGATCAACGTACCTTAAACGAACACGGTTAGGAGGTTAAACGTGACTTTGCTTGGATGAGAAAATATGCAGAGTCATAAGTCAACTGGAATACCAAAGTTCTGCGATAAACATTCTGGCGCGAAATATCATACGACGATTGAACTTGTGTGATCGTTCGGCAGCAACAGTAAAGTTAAACCGCTGGATTTAAACTTGAAATTTATTGGTTCGTTGAGACGAAGTCGGAACATTAATAACTTTTCGCCATCATCGCTCATGTGTTAAAGGTCGCGTCCAGCAAAGCGATAAAATCTTTTCAATATAGACGATCCGAAACATTAAGTGCTTCGACAAATTTTTACGGGAGATATGTATACATCGTCTCGATCATTATTCTCTAGCAATATATTTAACGTATAAAATATTTTATTACCAAGTAACGCCATCAATTGGATGTCATAATTTCCTTGTATCCACATCAAGTGAAAATAAAACTATAATATAGTCATAATGTTTAATGCAACTAACTCGTAATCCTATATATTTTATTATATTATTTATTTTATTATTTTATCAGCGATGAAATTCACTTTTATCAAATAATTAGAAAATTTCTTCCGCGTTATCTTTACATTATTAGTTCATCATTAGTTTGCGATCTGTACTGATCGATCATTGCTTCACTCGTCCTCGTTGCGTTGTGTCAGTCGTAAATCAATCAGGGTGCGGTAAATCGGAGAACGATGGGCAGCCTCTCCTTTCCTTCTCAACTCTCCACTACATGTCCCGATATAATTTCGATCGAGAATCAGAGATTCAGCCTGATGCTGATGTAAAATTCATCGTCATGTTTTTTATACCGTGAGTCCGGTCCGCGGTCGGCGACATATCTATTTTGTAGCTCGCACATTTCTTCGTGAGTCCGAGATTACACGGCCCGCGATAATAAGTCATTCGATTTATCGCCGGTCTTGCGCAAGATATCTTCTCAGAGGGGTTAGATTTCAGAGAAGGCTCTTGGATTTTTCCCTCAACCTCGTTTCCCTTACCGATCGCCGACCGATCGTGAGTTATTCTCGGACGAACAGGAAAAAGCCTCCCTTCGAAACTGCCGCGGGCACTGCGTATTTTTCTACGTTACGTTTTCTACGTTACGGCGGCCGATGGCTGTTTCTCAATTATTGGGGCACTGGCGAGGGATTCTCCGAGAATTCTTCTAAGAGAGAGATTACTCTTCAAAATAGCGCACCATATTCCATTTTAACGAGCAACGCATCACTTATATATACAATGTCGTCCTCATCGCTCTTGAACATTGCAATTAAACTTTTAACAAGATCTTTTAAATGGGAAAATTTCGAATCTTTGAATGAATGAAAACAAATGTTAATTGCTATTTTGTGATTCGAAGATTTTAATTTGGAATTTATATATTGCATAATAGTGGATAATTGCGTAATAATTGATTTAAATTTTGAATTCATTTATGATTGAAAAATATAATTTTACTATGCGTCATTGAATACACTGTGCTTTTACTCTATGTGCCACACACATGGCTTTGAAGATTAATAAAATATTAACATCGCTATCCGATCGATACTAAAGTCAAACTATTAATTTTAATATCGATCGATTGTCAGACTAAGCCAATGAAACATTTATCAATGAGATGACACACATGAATTATTTAAATGCGAATTGTCAATAAATATTATTATTAAAGATGTAAAATATAGATATTTTCATGATTAGGATAATATATAGATTGTTGCTAAATGAGAAAAAACTATAATGGACCAAGTTATCAAGTTTTCATCCCGATAAATATTTAAATACAGAACAAAATATTTTCTTACGCAATGTTATATTTATAAATGTCGCTTTCAATAATACATGTGCATGAGATTTATATAAATAATTTTACATAATTATTCTTCGCCATATAGAATACAGAATGTTTTTCCTTGAAATATTTTCCCAAGTAATATATCATTGTCGATGAAACAACTCTTTGAGTCTTCCGCGTTCACTCACTCAGAATACCCTTTCGCTTCGCGTAGTAATCGGTTTCAAAGTTCTGACGAAGTAATCTGCGATCGATGCCCCAGAAAGTATCGCGAACGGAAAAACGTCGAAGAGAGAGCGGAAGTCAGTCTTTGTTAAAATTTCAGAATGTTTCGTCGGAGATTACGCTTGCAACGTGTTCGTTTAACGCGTCGGCTCGACGTTTTACTGTCACTGGTTGAGCACCACGGCTGTCGGATATCGAGATTTTTACATTGCGCGTATTGCGCCGCAACGGAGCGGAGACGCCGCCTATAACGTTGATATCGATTCTCGAACTTGCAACCGCGCCATTTCTCGTACGCGCGAGCATACACAAGTATTAATCGAAGGAAACATATTCGCAGTGAGATTCGCTTTCTCTTTGCGTTTTTTGAATCGACTCAAAGTCGTACTCTTTGTGCGAGCACAAGCGAAATCAGCCGCGGCGATGACGGCTGTTGAAATTACATTGTAATCGATAACAAAACTCATTGAGTCCGCATCAAAATTTAATTTGGTCATTTTATCCGCGAGATTTTCGCGTACATCGTGATATTTGGCTTATCTGATAATTACAATCCGATTATTGTGTTTTATCATGATTGTAATTCGGTGTTCGACAAGGTACGCGCATTTTGTGCTGTATAATTACTAATACCCTCATTATGGATCGAATGAAAAATCGCGATTTCACTGGATGGCTGATCGTACAAGCTTGACTAGTCGTTGCGATTTGACATGCAGATAAAAAATCATATTATCCAGGATTATTGTTTGCGCACAATAATTTTGTTCAAATGAACAGGGATTTGTCAAAAATATTTCACAACTGAGTATTATTATTACTGAGAAAAACTGTGACGTAGAAAATATTATAAATGTTATAAATAAAATCGAATAATTCTTTTTTCAAAATTTTATTTAATCCATAAATATAAATATTTATCAATCACAATAGATTATCAAAATTTTTATA